TATGTGTTAAAGTACAGTCATCGGAAAGAGCAGCTGCTTTCTGTGGTGTTTCAACTTTCTTTTCATGTAAGTAAATTTTGAGGTCGTCACGTGCACAACGTTTAAATTCCTCAATTAGGCATAATTGTCTTAGTTTGTCGAAACTATCGCCAATATGCTTCGAATTACACCATCGATCAAAATAAACATCCTTCTCGTGGGCAAAGAGATTATCTTATTTGCGATAACCTCTAAACTTTTGGCGATAAGCCTCCGATACTAATTTGTATGCTTTCAGAATAGCTGCTTTAACATTATCATAATTCGTACAATCTACTAGAGAGAGAGCGGCGTAAGCTTCTTGTGCTTTACCAATTAAGACCAAATAATAATGACCAAATTTTGTTGGCAGTGATAAATATGAATTCAGTTATGATTCAAATTATAATTTAGATCGAATTTTGTCTCTGATTCAAATCCTGGACTAGCCTCCAATTTATTATGTTACGTATTGAGAATTTGAAATAATCGGAAACCGAGCTAAATAATTTAAATTTTAATAGTTGAATTGTACTCTGGATTTAGTGACTAGAAATATGCCGATATTTTATTTAATTTACGCTATTTGCCAAGGAGATTGATTCACACCGTTTTTGTTTTTGACACAAATACGTTCAATATATATATATATATGTGTGTGTGTGTGTATGTATGTATACAACAGTACAATTTACAATAGCAACTATTATAATTAATTATTACAAACAAAGTCTCATAAACAGAAATTTCACTAACTTACAAATAACCTAAAATCGTCTTCCTAGTTCAGAGTATCTTTGATATCCAGCGAGTTACTTGAAGTTGATGTACGTACAATTGTCGGGAAGCTAGCTAGCTTTATCAGACACTGAATTGTTGGACCGTTGAAGTAACATAATATTTCCATAAAACCACTAATGTCCTATGAGAAAGCAGTAATATACTTGGAAAGATACTAACATTTGATGAGAATTCACTGACTTTCGAAATTTATAACTGTTCCTGGTCAAATTTCATATGTTTTTCGGTTGGTAAGGGTTAGCAAAATCACGGTTTATAGCGTACATGGTTGTAACGGGTTCCTAGCAGACTTATCTCTATTCTCCCTCTTCTTTGGCCTTGGTCTTTTGATATGGGCGGGAAATGTCTTTCTAGAAAGTTTGGACACCAATACTAGCTATATTTAACCCGTTACTGAAGTGGATATATTGTCGATTCTTGCGTTCACAATTATTGTACAATCTTGGAGAATTGGCGCGAGTTTCGCCATACGTAACTAATACGGTAAGCTAGGCATGTTTTGACATATAAACTCAGTCCCAACAAACGTTGTCATTAAAAATAAATATATAACAAATTCGTTACACGCAATACATATCTGACATTATAAGTTACGCATATTTAATCTAAGCAATGTTCATATTAAAAATAAATACATAATAATAAATTCGTTACAAAAGATAGATTAGATGTTTTTAGGAGAGGTGTATAATTTATACCTCTCACAGGGCGCCATCAAAGATCAGTAGGACCCGATTTTATACAAAAAACAATCTCGCATTTTATGTCTCATAGCATTTACCACTATGCATACAAATAGAAGTGAAACTGATATTCAAAAACAAACGAGTCAAGCAGTTGGCTTTTACATATGAATTAAATAACTGTGAAACGACTACTGAGCTTTTGATGTTGGACTTCATTATATAAAGCAGTCAATATCATAAAAAGCTGAAAAATACATAAAAAACAAAAAAAATACTTGTTTCACAAATGAGCTGCCTGGTTCGACAGCCTGTTATATTTAATCTTTCTCGTAGCTTGTAAAATTACTTAGACATGTGTTTCAATAATGGAAAATTTGATGATTTAATTCTTCTGAAAGGACTGAAAACTTCGCACACAGGCTTAGCCTCTCTAGTGGAAAATTTACAATATTTTTGTAAAACTCCATTCACTGGTTGTGGCGAAGTAAAGATGCAATGAAAAATAATAATTTATGTCATTGCTTTTATAGACTGTTTGGAATAAACTAACATACTCATGGGCTAGAGTTATAATATTTTACAATTTTATCGTCTGATATAAGTAGTATTTTTTCAGAATGTCTGGCCTATTAGAAAGCCACATCAAGGTATTATAGATATAAAAATCGTTTTTTATTTGTTTGTTTTTGAATATCGCGCAAAGTTACACGAGGGCTATCTACGCTAGCCGTCCCTAGTTTAGCAGTGTAAGACTAGTGGGAAGGCAGCTAGTCATCAACACCCACCGCTAACTCTTGGGTTACTCTTTTACCAACAAATAGTGAGATTGATCGTAACTTTATAACCCCCCCCCCCCACGGCTGAAAGGGCGAGCATGTTTGGTGGGACGGGGATTCGAACCTGCGACCAGCAGATTGCGAGTGGAGCGCTTTAACCACCTGATAATGCCGAGCCAAAATCGTTTTTTACTGGTACTGTTTGAACGAAAACTCTCTTTAAGAGTGAGCATGATTTATTTAAAGAAACAAATAGTAAAACTTTTACTTTTAGAAATTACGTAAGGCTTTCCTTTAGTTTCAAAACTATCCAAACGATACCAAAGTTTGTATCCTATTTCAATACAATAATGTAAATTTTCGATATTTATTAAAAAATTAAACTTTGACTTGAAATAAAATTATTTATAAAATTATTCAGTTTCTAATCAGTTAACTTAAATTTTTAGTTATTGGTATTTAATTTGTAAATTTTCCAGAAATATAACTAAGAGTAGTTGAGAAAATGTTTATTTTGTCATTTAATTAAATTTATTTCTGTCACACCATTTACTTGTATTATATTATATCAAATGTTTATTTTACCGTTTAATTAAATTTATTTCTGTCACATCATTTACTTGTATTGCAATATATCAAATGTTTATTTTACTGTTTAATTAAATTTATTTCTG